AACGGAAACACAGGCATATTATTGAGACTACTGTGACATTATTGAGTGCTGCAGGGTTACCTCAACAGTTTTGGTTTCATGCTTGTAGTCATGCAGTGTTTTTTGATTAATAGAATGCCTTGCCAAAACTTAGAAATGGTGTCTCCCTATGTTAAATTGTTTGCCCAATCACCATCTCTGAGTTCCTTAAAGATTTTTGGTACTGCAGTCTATCCCTACTTAAGACCTTATAATGTCAATAAGTTACAAGCTCGAAGTGATGAATGTGTGTTTTTGGGCTACTCTATTGGATATAAGGGAGTGTTGTGCTATAATCGGAATACACAAAGGTTATTGTTATCAAGGCATGTCATCCATGATGAGAATGTGTTTCCTTTTAAGAAGTCTCATTCTTCTGTCCATATTTCTTCACCGGTTGTTTCCTCACAGCAAGAGTTACCAAGAATGAGATATATTGTGGTTCCTAATTCCTCTACCCCAACAAGAGAAGAAATTGGTGGAAATGATCAATCTGTGGATATGCATTCTATGGCATCTCAATCTTCCAGTCTCTCTTCAAGTCCAGTTCTGCATTCTTCATCAGATATACAAGCTACTACACTACATCCCTCTCCTTCTTCCTCTCAAGTGTTGCCTGTCCTTGATCTTGACCAAAATCAGGTATCTTCATCTCCTGTTATACATACTTCTTCTGAGCATAATATGGTTACACGTTTAAAAAGTGGAGTCCTGCAGCGAAAAGACTACTCTGCTTATTATGCTTTTGCCTCAAATACTTCTGTTGATAATGATGTGATGTTTTGTGGATTCACTGCGATTCTTAACATTCATGATTCACTAGAACCTTCTCATTATAAACAAGCTGTTCTTTCTGAGGATTGGAGGAATGCTATGAAGGAAGAATTTGTGTCTTTACAAAAACAAGGTACTTGGGAGCTCGTACCACCTCCGGTTGACAGAAATGTCATAGGGAGCAAATGGGTGTACAAGATCAAGAAGGATCAAGATGGCAAAGTGTCCAGATATAAGGCACGTTTAGTTGCTCAGGGTTATAGTCAGGAACAAGGATTGGACTATGATGAGACTTTTAGTCCGGTAGTAAGACATACAACAGTGAGGCTGGTTTTGTCTCTTGCTGCTATGCAAGGATGGGAATTGCGGCAGTTGGATGTCAAGAACGCTTTTCTTCATGGTGAATTACAAGAAGAAGTTTTTATGAAACAACCTCAGGGTTTTCAAGATCCTCAGCATCCTAATCATGTGTGCAAGCTTCTCAAGTCCTTATATGGTCTTAAACAGGCTCCAAGGGCATGGAATGCCAAGTTTACAAGTTATTTACCTTCTTTAGACTTTCAGTCATCTCATTCAGATCCTAGTTTGTTTGTGAAAGTGTGTGGGAATGATGTAGTGATCTTGTTGTTATATGTGGATGATATCATCATCACAGGTTCTTCATCTTTCCTTATTCAACAAGTGATTGCTGAATTGAGTAGTGCTTTTGATATGAAGGACATGGGCAAGCTTACTTATTTTTTGGGACTTCAAATCACGTACAAAGATAATGGTGATATATTCATTAATCAATCCAAGTATGTGACTGATCTACTCCATAAGGCCGGCATGATAAATTGCAGACCTTGTTCCACTCCAAGTAAACCTCATACTCAATTGGTCAAAGATGAAGGAGAACCATTAGCTGATCCTACAGTTTACAGAAGTTTAGTTGGTGCATTGCAATATCTCACCTTTACACGCCCTGATATTGCATATGCGGTCAACTATGCTTGCCAATTCATGACAACTCCAACTGAAGCTCATTTCTGTCTCGTTAAAAGAATCCTCCGGTATTTGAAGGGTACATGGCAATGTGGATTAACTTACTCTGCTCAAGCCAATATGGATTTATTGGCTTATAGTGATGCTGATTGGGCAGCAGATATAAATACAAGGAGGTCGACTACTGGTTACATTGTTTTTCTGGGCTCAAATCCTGTGTCCTGGCAGTCTAAGAAACAAGGCAGTGTTTCTCGAAGCTCAACGGAGGCTGAATATAAAGCCTTAGCTAATGCAGCAGCGGATGTGGCTTGGATCCGATTAGTTCTTAAGGATCTCCATATGTTTCTTCCTTCAGTACCATTGGTACATTGTGATAATCTGTCTACATTGGCATTGTGTTCTAATCCAGTTTTTCATACTAGGATTAAACACTTAGATACTGATTTTCATTTTGTTCGTGAACGGGTGCAAAAAGGTGATCTGCAGGTACAGTATATTCCCACTGAGGCTCAGATTGCAGATGTCTTAACTAAAGGATTACATAGTCCTCTGTTTGTTCATCATTGTTCCAATCTCCGACTGGGATATCCCAGCTGAGATTGAGGGGGAGTATTAACAATGTATGGGGTATTTGAGTCTTTTCTTATGTATCTATACACATCAGCTAAATGAAGGATATTAGATTACTTAGTCATTAAGTTTGGACAGCTGCTATATAAGGCTGGATAAGGGTGTAATTGTTTAGTTTTTGTTCAGTTAATACAACAACTTCTTTTGCAAGTCACTTTTCTGTCTCGTTCTCTCTTCTTCTCTTTTCTTCTGCGATTTCCATAGTTTCTTGCATTTAAGCTTTTCTGAATGTTTCAATGGCTGAACATGCCATTGTTATGAATGAGAAAGGAAAGAACGAAGCAAACAAGAAAATCCGAGCTAGGTGGTCATGACGAAGTATTTTTATGTCCCGTGCTAGGAAGCATTACTCTTCCCTTTCATTCCAAATTAACAATATGGCCGATACGGTTAACTAGTTTGTGTGCCTCTCCTACTTTTTGTATCCCATTCCCCCGGTTTTTCGGATACGTTTTGATCCTCCTACGCCAAATCTAAATTTGTGAAAAATAACATAATTTATGCGCACTATTTCTCACTTTTTTAATATTCTTGTGTATTTTTAGTTAGGGATTTTATATTAACATCCTACAAAATGTTGAATGCACCCCATATTAAAATATAATATTAAATGACTTATTTACTCTACCATGTAATGACAATTTTGACCTTATTAGGTTTTAAAAAAATAAAGATTTATAAATACACCCCAAATCACTTTTAGCATATTATTTATCTTCTCAACTATCAAACATGTTGATTAAGAAAAATTATTTTTGACGAATGGAACATGAAATCGATGTTTCAGGAGCTTCACATGAGGTAAGACTTCATAGTTTTCATTGTTTTAGTGATTTCGATGACATCGATAATTATTTAATTTTGCGTTTGCTGCATTATTTAAACTTTTATATTCATATTCATCTTTTAGTGTTCATATGGTTAGATTCAATCCCTGAAAATTAAAAATGAGTGTTATAAGAAAAGATATGCTGAAGGTGAAAAAATGTGTCTGCCAAGCCCTATACAAGTGTCCCCTGTCAAAATTTTTCTTTTCCTAAACTATTACGTTAATCTTGATAAATATTACAAATTTTCAGTGAAATTCACAAGTGCTTCTCTTTTTTCTGTTTGCTCATTCATACTCATGTTTAATTTTCTCTTTTAAAATGCTGCTCCATCTTTGAATCCAAACAGATACAAAATGCAATAAATCATAGTTTATTTGTCCAACGACAATATTAAACGGCCATTTTTGTTTCATCAACTAGGCGTTAAAATTCATTAAGCAAAGAGTGAAGGCTTACAATTGGCATGAAGAATACGAATTGATAAATTACTGGTGGAATCAAGCTTTGTAGTCACAGTTCATTTAGTGTTGTAAGGTCCCCTTGTTTTGGTCTGTCGAGAATTGCTTTCAAGATTTTGGCAATGCAAACTTCAGCATGTCTACAGACAGAAGAATTTTGTGGCAGACAGTTTAGCGACCTATAGTTTTGATTTAGATTTAGGTAATTTTTATTTTGATACTCTTCCTTCTTATTCAGTAAGTTTGTTTGGACTCTTGCTTTTAGCCCCGCTTTTCAAACAAAAAAAAGAGAGTGAAGACCAATGTTTTGATACCAGCACACATTTTATTACTGGCTGTAGTAGGTGAAAAACAAAAACAATATTGGCCGGCCACGGATTAGTTATTTTTTTCTTGGCCGGGTTGATCATATCCGTTATCCATGTTGATTTATATCCAATTTTATTGTTTATTTATTTAGTTTTTTCTTCAAATAATAGAAACATGGGATGCAGTTCATAAACTAAAGGTTTAAGAATCAAATTTAAACCTAAATTATTCACGATGTATCAGATTTTCTTTGATTCAAACACAAAAGAAGTCTTTATTTAAAATCGAGGAAGAAACCATCGCACTACGAGGGTCAATATTGGTTTGTTTTTATTAGCTAAGTCATGAAATGACAATAAGTTTTTGTCTGCTAATTTGCTTTGTTTTAATCCCAACCTTATACAAAATAGAGAATTTTAACAAAAAAACTCCTGATACTGTTTACTTTAACGAAAAACCACATTTTTACACTAAAAAGTCAATCATGTTATCATTCACTTTACCTTTTATTTTGTCCTTATCGTTAAAACTCAAAATTTTCAAATTTTTTTCATTAGTTCTCCTTACAAAATAACCATTCACTTTGCAACATTCATAGGCTTTTTTAGACAGATTTTATACGTATACACGCATTCTAAACTACTCTAATTTATGGGAATGATTTGCACTTAAATGCAACCGGACGAACGCGCTTTCTCTTGCCAACTGATCTAATCCAGCTTAACATTCAAACCAGTTAAATAGTGTAGCATGGGGAATAATTAGTAATTTATATGCGTCAAAGTTGAGGGCCAATTCAACCCATTTTTATGGGGGGTTTTGTAATACACATCACAATCCTTAATACCTACCTTGTTTCAATATGGGAGAAAAAAATTATGTTCAATGTCCACGACCGGCCCTTCAGCTTGTCCTTTTATTACCGTCTTCGTTCTCATTGGAACCTATTAAACCAACTTAATCTCCCATCTTAATTCCAACCACTAATTCACTCTTAAACATTTGGAACCTAAACATCTCTCTCTCTCTCTCTCTAAAAAACTGTAGAGATGGGGGACAAGGCAACATTAAGCAAGGCAAGAATGGAGCTTGAAGACATGTACCAAGGCATCCCAGATGAGTCAGTTAACCTAACTTTCCAGGACTTTGCAGAGCTCAAACTACACCAAGTTACATCAGAAAAGAAAAAAAAACCTACTCCATTATTATTGAATCCAATTTCTCAACTCAAATCCACCGCACAAGCATCCTCCCCCTCTCCTTTGACCAAACTCCCCAGCCTTGACTTCAACCGTGCCTTGCAAGCATCCAGAGATAACCACCACAACAACGAAAACAATGTCCCTGTCGGTCCATATGACATTGGTAGTAACAATGATTATAATCATCAGCATATTGATCATCATATGAATAGTCATCATGGTCATCAACGTGAAGTCAACCATGACATGCAGCATGGTCATGGAGGTCACGGTCAATATATGGGTGGTGGCGACCATCATCATAACCATCAGATGCATCATGGGATGCAACATGGTCATGATGGCCATGCAGTTAATAATGGTCATCATATGAGTCTGAATAGTCCTGGTCCCACGTGTAATTCAGGTATGAAGCATGGATTGGAGACTAGCTTGGGGGCTTTTGATCATGATGTGAGTGGTGTGAGCGGTGTGAGCATGGCTTCCATGTACCAGAAAGAGAGAGGAGGAATAAGAAGGCCTGGGATTCCCCACTCTAATATCTGCACCCTTTGCAGTACCTACATCTATATTTTCCGCCACCGTTGCCTGGTACGTGTTATTTGTACAAATTTACAATATCTAATGCTTGGTTTATCTGATAAAATATAGAACACATGTATGGAAATGGCGATGGATCAGATGGTAGTAATTTAATTTTGTGTGCAGGTATGTGGAAGAGTGTATTGTAGACAATGCGTGATTGTAGGGATGGGAGAAATGACAGAAGGTAGAAAATGCATCGAGTGTTTAGGGAGGAGATTCAGCCAAAGGTATGGTCAAGTTAAACTATGATTTAAGTTTTTTTCTACTTAGTTGAATTCCTATCACATACAATTACTAGATATTTAGATTCAAGTCATGAGCTCAACACGATTATTACCTACGAGTAACTTTAAAATGATTAAATTTTCTTATTTTAACCGTTATTGGCATTCTATGAAGATAATCATTTATTTATTCTATAAAGAAATAGATTAGCGAAATTGTACTTTATGATGATTATAAAGTATCAATAACAGTTCTTTTTAAGTTTTTGGCATGTGGAAAGTTTTTATAGAAAATGACCTACTACATGGTTAGGTTTGTGGTGAAAATGTTATTAATTAATTATGTAAATAACATTATGAGACCGAGCTCTTAAGTGCTTAAACACTGCCCTAAATTTACTAATTATTATGTAGTTAGTGGTACTTTCGCTTTCAGTGTTGAAATGCGTCTCAATTAATCTGAGTCCTCTATCTCACTCCCATTAATAAAAAAAAATATCACAAAGAATAATATACCATTTTCATGGATTGTTTTCCACTCCTAAACCATAGATTGGACGATATGGTGTCAAACACTAGAAAAAATGGTAATAGACTAATATATGCTCAAGAAAAACGATGAAAACCATTATAATGTTGAATTTTTTAATACATCAATTGTCATACATGTAACGATAAATTACAAGCAAGCTACACAACTAAAAAACAAACAAGAAAACTGAAAAATAAACAAGGGCCGGCAATGAGGTTGTTCTAACCGACGGGGCCGATAGTAACATATAAATTACAACATATAAAATGTATCGTAGCGTTGCTGTCCTTGGTGTTGAGAGTTGTCCCACATTGGTGAGGGACAAGATTTGTTATGTGCTTATATGGTCTTGAGCTACTCTCCATATAGCCAATTGATTTTATGGTGGAATCAATTTCATCACTTGGTTCTTCATACTTGGTACTTCACAAACGGACAGTGGCCTAATACAAGAAGAAAGAAACTCCACAACAAGATGTTTGGATAAAACAATATTTTTGTCTCATTATTTATTTTATGACACAAGTAAATTGGCTTATAGGTACATACAAAGAGCAGGGAAGTTTAGGTGTTGGTCAAGGTACCCTTCCAGGGTGAAGCAAGCAGAGCTCAAGTGGGCTGAGAAAGGGCCGAGAAGAAGTACCGGCAACGGAGGCTATGGCCGGAGCTCGATGACATCGCCAATATCAAAAAGCCCAGTGACGCCGATGACTCCGAGGACCCCAAACAGAGGCCATGCTAGTGGCCCAAATTCTTTTGTCATGAATAGTTCATCATATTCCCCATATTCACCAAGTCATCGCCACCACCTTCCACTCTAGAGAGTTTGGAGACCACAATTTATCCAACATTCTCAGTTTTCTTATGGTCACTGAATTATTTCCCAAACATTATTCTTCCAGTGGTTGGATTTTTCTTAATTAATTCATCATTATATATATATATATATGTATCTTCATTTTGTGTTAACATTTTATAGATATCATATATTACATATAGAGGTGGCAAATCAACCTATTGTGTTGTTAATGGGTACCTGTTAAAATCCGTTTAATTTGAAATCACCATAATATTAAAGGAAAAATTGGTAGTGACGATGATGGTTTAAGGTAAAATCAAACTAAATGGTTGTCCATTAACAATCTAAATGATTGATTTTTCACCTCTAATTCCATAGCCTAGACTTTGCTAGGCTGGGAAATGTGGGCTTTAAAATCCCTGGAGGCAGACAACTTGAAGAAACGAAAGCTTGTAATATATGAGGCATGAGATATGCTATGAGATTAGCAATCAAAAGATAAAATGAAAGTCCTGAGTTAGCACATCTGGTAAGGAAGAGTAGGTAATCATTACAAACAAATTAAGAGATGTTTGAAGTTCAATTCTCTCAAACGCATAACTAAAAAATATTTACGGATAAATCATTACAAAAAGAAGGATGAAATGAATAGAAATTAAAATTAAAATGATTCAACTAAAAAAAGACGTTGCGGGTAACACTTTTTTTTTTTTTGGGCCAAACAATAGAAGAATTGGGGTGGAAGGGAATTTGAAAATGACCTTAGATGCAGAGGTAAATGTTCTTACCATTTGGACTATAAGTCCACATTACAAACCCTAATCCGGATGTGAACAGGATTGAGCAAATAAGGCTATAGTAATCCGTAAAAATTGAGGGAATAAAGTAAGATATATCAAGGAAAAGAGTTAGGTTAACCCAACTTTATTTTATAATGCATTAATAATTTCATGAATTCATACAAGATTTTCTTTTGAAGGACAAACGAATATTATCAAACACAAAGCATGAGGCATAAACAAGCATTGCACTAATTAAAGCTTTCTTGATTTGATCTTGATTGGGAGACCCATGGATGGATATGGCGCTGGGTTAGGTTACGATTTATCGGTTCCTCAAGGTGCAACTTTGACCACTTAAAACATTTTCACCAAATTGTGGATTGTAACAAGTCACTATATATAAAAAAAAAAGTCTTTCAGTCATAACGAAAGTCGTGATCGAAAGTACAAAACGTTGTGACTAAAATATTTAGTCACAAAAAAACTCTGTAATTGGATTGTGACTGAAAACCTCGTGACTAGTTGATTTAGCCACAAAAAATAAACATTGACCGACTAAAATGTTTAGTCACAACTTGTTAATAGAAAATTAAACCAAATCCTGACTTTTAGTCACAACATCTTTTAGTTTCAATCACTCTTCATGACTAAAAGATTTAGTTACAAGCCCTTATGACTAATAAGTATATAGTCACAACCAATTTTCATGATGGAAAATCTTAATAAAGCCATGAGATGCAGATACAAATGATCAATTCTTTGCAAGGCATATAAACAAAGCCTTGTGTAGTAATTAAGGCTTCCTTGGTTTGATCTTGATTGGGAGACCCATGGATGGATATGGCATTGGTTGCCTGGTGATAGCTTCATCAGGGTACACCGAAGACCACTCATACATTGTCACCAAGTTGTGGATGATAGTGAGCACTTCTACTCTTGCAAACTCATTCCCTATGCAAGTGTGGAGGCCTCCTCCAAATGGAATATAAGCATAGGGAGGGATTGGTTTTGATGGGTTCTCAAACCTTGATGGATCAAACTCTGTAGGCTTGTCAAATATCTCTTTGTTCATATGAGTTCCATGGGCCACCCAAAACACCTGCAAAACCAAAATTCACATGTTAATTCTCATTCTCAAGAGTTGAACTCGACCTTCTTTAAAAGTGCTAGTCCGAAAACTAGGCACAAACTAGGAGTGGCTTGGGTGCACTCTAGGAGAGACAAACTATCTTGAAACTAATATATTGTCCCGGTGTACATAACCAGTGACATAGATGATTGTCATGTACATCATTTGTCATCTATTAGATAGTTGCCAAATGGTGTCACTGATTACAAGATAGAATCTCTCGTGCACTAGACACCCCAAGTAAAAAAGTCCTAACAAATAGTTTAGTTCTAGGTTGTTGATATGATATTTGAAGATGATGATATAAATAAAATGTTGTTACCTGCCATCCCTTGGGGATATCATAGCCACCATATTCAATGTCTTTAAGTGCTTTTCTAAAGCTGCCAAACACAGGAGGGATAATCCTCATCAACTCTTGTGCAACTCTCCATGTGTATTTCATCTTTTGTATCTCAGCCCAAGTCAGCCTATTTTCTGCTCCCTCCTCCCTCTTCCCTATAATGTCCATTTGTTCTACAAGCAAAGAAAATACAGGCATACAAATTTAGTGAGAAATTTGGGATGATCAAAAAGGAGATTTACCTAATGCAATATTATACCCTCTAAAACTTTGTTGTATATCTCAGAGTCTTTGGACAGCTTCCATATCATCAGGCTCAGAAGAATGGCTGAAGTGTCGTGACTAGCTACCATCAATGTGACATAATTATCCACGATCAAATCATCTGAAACAGGTTCTTCATTTTCATCTCTTAATGCTAGCAATGATGAGAAAACATCGCTTGTAGGGCTTAATTTTCCTTTTGAAAACGCCTCCCTTCTTTGCTCAAGTATTGGCAAAATCTGGTTAGCAATCCTTGACCGGGCTCTTAGGCCTTTCCAGTAAACAGTGCCAGGGAAGTTAACAGGAAGAGACCAAACTGCTTTGAATGCTAAAGAAAAATCATCAAACAAAACCTCCCTGGTGCGCTCATCATCGATGCCGAAAAGGATGCTGGATGCTATGGTGAATGTAAATTTCTTCATGGTGACCACAACTTTTATGGTGTCCTTGTTTTCGGTTTCTTTTAGTAACATGGTCTTGATCAGTCCATCCATTCGTTTAATATAGTTCTGTAGACTTTCTGGCTTTAAGAAGCTCACCATTGCTCCCTTTACCAATCTGTACCCGCAATACGCACGATATTAATTATTCGTCATCCTATTGGACCAAATTCGTGACATGCATTTGTTATCAGACTGTAAATCTTAAAATATAAAGTGTTTGACTTTTAGATAAAGAGAAAAATCTCCCGAAAACATAAGACGAGGGCTTATTAAGTACCTTGAGCCTGTAAGTTCAAATATATTTTGCTTTCCAGAAATGGCTACCAGGGTGACAGGTTGCTTGGCGGCAAGGACATCATCCTCAGCACCAAGGACGAACTTGTTACCCGCTTGACCAACAACCACCACAGTGGGGGAACCCATCAAGGAGGTTTTGAACATTGGTCCATGCTTTGATGTTCTCTCTTCGAGCCATTCGGGTCCTTGATCTTGTTTCTGTGCTTGAAGAAAGCTGAACGTCTCTCCGATTAAGGGAAACCCTAAAGACCCTCCTGGCAGGTTTTTGGTCTGATCCTTAAACAGAAATTTTGAAAGGAAAAAAGCGATGAACAAAGTTATTACAATTACTGCAATGAAAGCTGCCATGTTTGTGGAAGAATGCTATGATCAGAGAGACATTGAACTAAATGAATATATGCTCAACCATGGCCGGCTGCTACAAACAAACCAATTGAAAGTGATGGAAATATTATAATGGATTATTAACTAAATTGAGTAAACGGCAACATGCACAGAAGCATGGCTGCATATTCTTCTTCCTTCATTTTGAATCTAAGGGCCTTCAAAACTCTGACCTGATCTGAGAGCAGTCATCTCTTTAACTTTTCAACAAACTTGCATGTGTTTCTTAAGAAAGTTAAAGTTTCACCATAAAATTTATTGGTAATATGAGTAGTAGTCCAACATCTTATAAGCAGTCAGTCAATATGCTCTAATAACATAGAGAAAGTTGGGGTTCCGTCATAAAATCAACTAGCAAGCCTTTGCAAAGTTTCTCATTTCACCGATGTGAGACTTTTTTACCTTCACATCCTCATAGTTTTAAAACTTTTATCACTTGCATTTTTTTGTTTTAAAAAAAAATCATGAAGATGAGAACCTCAACCAATAATAAATTAACGTTTTAAATTTTACACTCGAAATTCTATGTTCGATTCTCACACTTCAACACACCGTTTTACATCCTAAACTTCTAGTCATTTTCAAAATTAATTCTCTCATAACAAGAAATATGAGTGAACATTGTTCGAACCTTTTTAATTAACTACCAAATACAGTTAGATTGTGATTAGTTTATAATTAAAAAAGGATTATTATACATATAATTGAGCCATATGGTTTGGGATAACAAAAGTAAACGATGAACACTAGACCCTTTCATTTTCAGCATCGATCGTCACAATGGTTTTTTATTAATTAACGTATCTAATTAAGCAATTAATAGACTCTTTCCACAGCTGACGGATATGTAAACAAACATGATAGAGACATGCATGTTATTGGCACTTAAAATGTTATTGTGTATTTCTTCATGTACATTTTCTAATAGGGGTACTACTTGTGTCTCTTGTGATTTCATAATGAGTTCTTTGTGCAAACTTTCTTAATCCTGGTGTAGCATTTGTCCCCTTATCGATAATGGCGGAGCCACCCACAAGGTTTAGATGGGCTGTAATCAGGAGGGTTTTTTTATAAATTCATGCTTTAATTGCTTATGTTAATGCATGTAGTCTATATATTTCTTTCAATTTTAATACATATTAATATTTAATGTATACTTATGCATTATAGGTAATAAATAATACATTTTATGCTAAAATAAAATGAGTTCTCTCTCTATTTCCCATCCTTTTGCAGTGGTGGAGAAGAGTGTTGTCTTCGCACCACAGCGTGTTGCCTAATTTAACATCTAATCTAACAAATCTATCGTTTGACCCAAAAAAAAAGACTATTTACCATATGCAATCTAGCCATTGTGATTCTTACTTAAGAAAAGAAAAAGATTTTGTTTTAATCAACCATTAAACCGCAAGCTCCGCAATTTCCTTACCTTCCGTGGAGATTTTCCAATGAATGTCACATTTGGTACATTCTTAATCTCTTTATTTACTATTCTTGATTTAATTAGTAGGTTTATTATTTATATGGTCCTTGAATTTGTCGATTAGATTACAATTTTGAGAAAAGTTTATATTTCATTGTAGTTGTTTCATGTTGATTATTATATAATTTTATATAGGTAAAAAAATGAACATATTAATTTTGTGGTACTGCTTTCAGCTATATAGCCCACTCAAGAAAAAAAATTATAGCTCCACCCATGAGAATTGCAACATGCTAATATGGTCAGACTTTTAAACATGTGTCGCAGTTCTAAGAAAGGGGCAATGCCACACTAGAATTAAGATTTAGCAAAAACGATTCTTTTATAAATGAGGATTATGACATTTTTGAAGTGCCAATATAAAAACTAGAGTAAATTACATAGTAGCCCCTCAGGTTTGAGGTCAATTACAACCTCATACAACAACTTTAAAACATTTCACTTTCATACATCCAGTACCATTTTATTTCAAAATAACACATCCGTTAGATTTTCCATCCATTAGTCTGTTAAATGCTGACGTAGCTGCCACAGTTGTGCCACGTGGCTGCCAAATTTATGCCACGTGGCAAAAAAAATAATTTTTTATACATTTAAAAATAATTAATTATAAAAAAATTTCCCCATAACCCATCTTCCCTCCCCGAGACTCACTTCCCTCTCCTGCTCCCCACCCACCCTTCCTCCCTCCATCCCCTCCCTTTTCTCTCCACAGCCGACGCCTAGGACTTACACCCATAAAAATGGCGCCCTTCTCCTCAGATCCCACAGAGCCCCCGTCTCTTCCCACAGCCAGCGCCCTCGTTTCCCTCACCTACGTCAGAACCCCCGCCGGTATGGCCTCATTTTGGCTCTTCTCCGACGCTAAGCACAACGACAGCAGCTCTCCCACTGCGTATTCCATCACATGGTCCGAGATGGGTTGAGGTTCCGAGATGGGTTTTTGATTGGAAGGGTCCGATTGAGATTTGGATCGGGTGAAAGTGAGAGAGAGAGATGAACGAAGTTGGGAGACAAGGGCAAAGATCTGGTGCGGCGGGGGTGCACCACCAGCGACAATACTCTGATAATTTCTTGGAGACTTCGTCCAACGAAAGGTGGCTCCAGTTAACTGGTCTTCAACACCTTCAGTTTTCCAACTCATCTGGTTCTCCTCCTCATGTATTTTTTTTGCTTTCATCCGAATTTAATCAAAACATTGTACCAAATCTGAAATTTGGGTGCATTGTAATCAACATTTATTGTTTTTTCCCTTGAATTTTTTAATTTTTAAACTTTTTTGGGTATATTCTGATCAAACCCATATGAGATTTTGATTAAAATGTTGAAGCTTTGATCTTTGTAAATCTTATGGTATACTTTTGTATCTAAAATGTAGAAGCCTGGATTGGATTTTTTGGGGTTCTGTCAACGAAGGAGAAGGGGTGGGGAAGGTGAGGTAGGCGACGGCTCTATGGGATCTGAGGAGGAGGGCGCCATTTTTATGGGTGTGAGTTCTTCTGGGTGTTAGTTGTGGAAAGGGATTGTGAGGGAGGGAGGGATGGAGGGTGGGTAGGGTGCAGAGGTGGGGGGGGGGGATGATGAAGATAGGGAAGAAGAAAAAAAAAAAAAGGGTCCGAACCCAGAAGAAGAAGAAAGAGAAAGAGAAGAAGAAGAAAGAAAAAAAAAAGTGGATAACAAGTTTTTAAAAAAAAATAAAAAAAATATTTTATTTGCCACGTGGCTGACATTTGGCAGCCACATGGCATACATGTGGCTGCCACATCAGCATTTAACAGATCCATGGATGGAAAATGTAACGGTTGTATGAAATTGAAATAAAATAGTACTTGAGGTATGAAAGTGAAATGTTTTAAAGATGTTGTATAAAATTGCAATAGACCTCAAATCTGAGGGGCTACTATGTAATTTACCCTAAAAACACACATCTTTTGTTCCATGCATATTCCATTTTAGTCATGCCCTTTAATTTTGTTTACTTTATTTAATTTGATTACATAATTAAAGAGGAATACATGAGAAATTAAAATGGCCGTGTAAATATCACTTCCTTTTATTATTCGTATAGAAAATAGAAATGGTCATTGTTGATCTGTATCTCCTAGCCCCTAGGCAACAATCATACATGTCATAGCTGTTTGCAATATCTTGTAAGCTTTATCCCACTTGGAAAGGTACGTGACAACAATTAGAAATTGTCTTCCCCACTTTATTTAAAAATATTGCTCGACTCCTCAATTATATTTTTTTATGAGAGGAACTCCTTAATTATATTTAAACACATGTCATCCATAAATTAAACTACAAGTTGATGAGATATGTCATCGAACTATATTATAACAAGTGGTGGATTTATAACACATAAAAAAATTTATGCTCGTATTAATTGTAATTTATTTGTAATGAAGAATGACCACAATAATTCTATGCAGTGTGGCAAAGTAAATTGAGATCATGTCCAGATCCCTGTGTCCAATGAACCTAAATATTCATTAGTCCATCTCATTGATTCGCCACACACAATTAAGAGTTCGAGTCTTTCTTTCCCTCGCATAAGTAGCTCGAATCTCTGATTCCATTGACTCTGAACTAGGGATGGACAACGGTTATGGTGGGCGAGTAACCGTGGTTATTTACCCATAACCATTCATGTTCATACCCGCATAACCGTTTACCCGTTGGGTAATTGCATAAACGGTTATACCTATACTCATAACCGTTTATAAACGGTTAACCATACTCATAACCGCATACCCATTTAACCGTAACCGTTTAATACCCGTTTATTCATTTACCTTTTTTAACCCGTTTACTTTTTTTTCACCATTACCTTTTTTTCACCCGTCTACATGCTTTTTAACAACTTGAAAATTTTAAAAAATTGTCATAATTTTTTTTTTGACAATTAAACACCGTTATAGGTACATTCATCATACATTTCCGTATTTTAATTTTTTAAGTCCTTATACCATTCCAATAATTGAAATAATAGTTTACGGACGATATTTTTAACTGTTACCAATGAAGGTAAATATAATATTTGCTAAGTATTATTGGGTTATAAAAATTGTTTAGAAGACATTTCTGTCAAAACATTTCTATCAATTTCATGGTTACCCACAAGGAATTTAAATTAATTTGGCGAATTACTTGATGATGAGAATCATCATTCCTGTAGCAGTGTTATTGAGAGAATGACCGATGAATTCATTGCTAATTTATTGGGCGCTAAGTATTATTGGATCGAGAACATGGTTTGTGTTAGTTTTACATATATAAAATAAATGGGTAAACGGTTACTCGTTTATAACCGTGGTTAGTACCCATAACCGTCCATTTAAATTTCACGAGTAAACGGTTATACTCATAACCGTAACCGTTTAATTTAAATGAATGGGTAACCGCGATTACCCATAACCAATGGATATTTACCCTTCCCTAAACGTTGAGATCTAAAGAGAATCTCGATTCGTGGCAAAGT